GGGGGGGGTTAGCAAAGTGAATGTTGGAGCGAAAATCCATGACTCCTGATCCAGTGGATGGAGAGCAAAATCTATAGCAGTAGAGGGGCAGGATGGGAACAGTGACGATGGGAGAGGCTTTAGAGAACAAGATCCAATCACCGATTGAATCCTAGCGCCTTTGTTGTTTACGATCTAGCTTTGATTCTTTGATATGTTTCACTCGACACAAAAGTTAAGTGCACTGATAGGGACCGATTATGAAATTTGGTTCACTTCTTGCTTACGACCGCTACCCAGCGAAGTTTGCGATTCAGTGAAGGATCACGGTTTTTCAGTGCTTTTATATCATTCTTGGCAGAACCTGTTCGACCGCTGACAAGCTTGGATCCTCATCTATCTAATGATGTAACCGTAGAGAAAAGGAGCTACATTCATAAAGACATTAAAGACCCAATGGTGTTGTTGTGACTCGACAACATTTGTGAGTACCATTCAGGGCTTTGGATGCCTACCAGTTAAATCTTCAATGGGTCATTATTTTAAGATGAACAGTGACCGATCAAGACTTCTAATCAAAGGCCTAGGCATCGCACATTTCGAATACCTCTATCGAATTTTGTGTTCCGCAGAGTATCATTTGTTCCAAAGAAAGAGCGTGCTGTTTACCGATTATCACAACTCTATTATAAGAAGGAGAGGAGCCTGGCGTCGCCGAGCGACACGAATAGGGAGATATAAGGCATAAGAAACAAATCTACTCAACACATAAGAAAAAGCCGTCGACTTTCAGAGCGCGCTTGTTCCTCTGAACTTTGGGAAATTTTCCGTTCCCTATCCGCCTTTTGGGGAGGCGAACCGAGCCTCGCTACAGACTTGCTAAGCATTCCTCAATTGTGTTCGTGTGTGGTGTGTACACTGGTGTGCAAAACTTAGGGACGAGAGCAACTCTCGATTACTGCACGTTTGCTAGACGACCGAGATCGATGAAATTTATACCATACCAATAGAGGACCATTACGGTGTTGCACAGGAAGCAAATGATAGAAAATCGAAATAAGTTGAACAGATAAGACACTTTTCTCCAAAGGTACTGATTACACATAGTTCCTCACAATTTATCCTAATACTTAAAAAAAGCGACGCGGTTCCTAATAGGGTGTGTGATCACCACAGACAGCAATGAATGCTTTGCAGCGCGACCCCATAATTTCCACCAGTTTGGTGATGAGTTCCTGTGGTAAGGCACTCCTCTCCTCGAACAGCACAATTGGCACTTGTTGGATGGTCACTGGTGCATTTGGACGCGCCGCAACGCGTCAACCCAGTGCATTCCACACGTGCTCCATGGAATTTAAGTCGGAGGAACGAGCAGGCCACTCCATTCGTCGAAAATGCTCTTGTGCTAAGAGCTCCTCCACAGGTGATGTCCGATGCGGTCGCGCACTGTCATCCATAAAACGAATCCAATACCTGCTGCAGCCCTGTAGAGACGCACGTGGGGAAGGAGTACTTCGTCACAGTAGCACTGACTGGTAAAGGTTCCACGATCAAAAATCTGGAGGTCAGTACAGCTATGCAGCATGATGCCTCCCCATACCAGTACACCTCGACCACAGGAACGATCACGTTCGACAGTTTCTGGGAGAGTTTCGTGTTTTACCTCTCGCCATATAAATGTGGCTTCAGAATCACTACTCAGATTGAATCTGCTCTCATTCGTAAAGAGCACACGGCTCCATTTCTTATCGTCCCATTCGCCATGTTTCCGGCGCCACCCTAAACGGTCTCGCCGATGCGCGAGAGTCAGAAGAACACAACTTAGCGGTCGTCTGGCGAATAGACCGCCGCCTTGTAGTCGTTGTGCCACTGTAGTGCGCGAGATGGCTTGCCTTGAAGTCCTGTAGAATGACATTGCAATCACAGAAGCTGATTAACGTGGATCTCTTCCTGCCTGGTGCTCAATATAGCGATTATAACTGAGTGTAGTTGTCATTAGAAGACTACCTCCTCTCCTTCGTGCAGCACTATCAGAGGTTCAGAATGCTCTCCGTGCACGTGAAACAGTACTGCGAGCGATACCAGGCTCCTGAGCTTCGCTTTGTATGATTCGACCTTTTTCTAGTTTCCCGATGATGATTCTTTCTCGTGCCAGCTCATCCAGACGATATCTGCGGCACATAATTATAGAAGGATACCACCACAGTACTTGGTAGCTACTGGCTCGTTGACAAAAAAATTTTTTTGCACCTATCAACTGCCTCGATTTGCGCGGGTAGTCACACTTCTCGCTTTTTTTGAGCTAATCCTTCACGAAGGGAAGCTCAGCTGCATGTGCATAACCGTCTTAGGTCTAACAATACAATCCTACATTTTCATTTATTCCCACCCACTCCTCAATGTTTTATTTGCATTATCCATCTCGTCCCTAAGTTTTGCACGCCAGGTATGTGAGCGGTGTACGTGTCGGTGCGTGAACCGATGTGCTTTTCTGACTTTGTGTCTGTCGCGCTTTGGTAACGACGTGTGTTTGGACCTGTGTGGGTCTGTGACAATGTATGTGTGTGCGTGACGAGATTTCATAGCTCTTTCCCCTCCCCCCCCCCCCCCCCCCCCCTCGACCCTAGAGCGTTCGGGAACACTTATAGCAGAGATAGGAAGTGGTAATAACTGATAGGAGGGATAAGAGTCCTCACAATGCAAAGTCACAGGATCCGTTACTCACTTCATGTTAACGGTCAGGCCTTAGCACTTTGATCGTTCACGTGAGATGCGAACGAACTGTAAATGATTGGTGATAGGGATTGATAACATCAGATAGAGACCGATAGCGAGCCATAAAAGATAAGTGCCATTACGTTTGCAGCACTTCGTGTTATTAGTGGAGCCTTGGCACTTTGGTAGATGGTGTGAAATGTGAAGGGACTGGAAATGGTTGGTGGGAGAGGCTGATAACAATTGATAGTGCACGTTGTGGGGCCAAAAAAGGCGAAGGCCACTTGGTCTGTAGTGCCTTTTAGTGTTCATCGGAAAACATCGTTTTCGTGTGAAGGTTATTTATTGTCGCCTTTGCCGGCCGGCAAGACAGAAGTTCAACACTAACGGGAAAAGCCCACAGTATGCACCATGAGTCGGGTCATCGTATTGTGCATTCAAATACCGGCTTGGAGAAGGATAAATGGAGCTGCAAGAAAGTTCTCATTCTAACTCCCAACGATCCAGTGTATATAGTGGAGTTAGCATTGTGAAGGGAAATTGGCTCCAGGTGAAGGGACAGGGGGAAAGACGTAGCATAGCAAATGGTCTTTGAACGGGAATTTGATAGTATCATTCGCTATTGTTGAGCATTCCATGATTTTAACTTCTGTAGACAAGCAAGGAGACAGTTCAAACCATTCGATCAAACAGATGCGCTTATGAAAGTGAATTGCGATAAATCTCGACTGCCGGTGCAGACTGTTTATTTTCAAGTGAAGTACTGAGATGAACCTGCTTCAAGTTAGATGAAGCCTGTTTATTAAAAGTCATGAAATCGTGCGCACCTACACGGTTCTGGTTTAATCACACCTCATTCCCCCAACTGAAGCGGTAAGCAAATGCCTGTCAGCGACTTTTGTGTAAATCTTTTGTTTTCCTCAGATCTCTTATGCGGTTCCGATCATATCGGATCAGAGAACGTCGAAAAAAACGTCTGAGGCCCCTCGACCTTTCTTTAAAAGTGAGACCAACTGAAGAAAAGATGGCAGCTGACGTAAGCATCTTCGTTGCATATGTCCCTTTGTAGAAGCGCCCTATCAATTGGGCTCTTTAGTGTACTGCCAATCTCACTCCATTAAAAGCTCCGATATCAATTGATTCTATGCGGCAGTTAACCAGGAATGGCGATCAGATTAACCTCAGACAGGTTAGTTGAAACTAGCAGTCGAGCGTGTAATGATATCCAATATGAAAAACTGTTAGAACTTTTTAATGAAATTTTTTCAATAAAACATGTACAGATGTTGCTAGTACCTTGGTAAATCTGATTGAAATTTTTCACTAGAATTTAGGTTCTTCGTATCTATGGGTCAGGAATTGTTGAAGAGCCGTATGCCTACTTACCCAGGGTAACTTCTCTACGAAGCACTCGTGGAATGGTGACGGTCAAGTATGGCACAAACATGATCGAAATCGCTATGCAAAACACCGACATAACGGTACGGTATGCCATTACTGAATGGGAGGAAATTAAAAGGCATTTGTTATAACCAAAAGTCAAGACGAATTAAACGTCCCACAATTGTGTTACACGATAACACAGGCTCTCACTGGGCTGTGTTGTTTGCATCAGAGTGAGGGCGCTGAAACCCTCTAGCTTTCTTCGAGTTTCTTCCTTGTAGTAGGGACAATATCGCCATATTCCCTGTATCCCAAGCTGTAAGGTTGCACTAAGTTGGGAACCAAAGAGATTAGAAGGATTAATCTGGTAAATAAGAGGTTGAGAAATCGTGGGAATAAAAACAATGAGAAAAGTTTCCAATAGTTTTAAAGTTTTTATAGAAGGATGTCAAGATTTAGGATTATATCAATTACCGTTATGATATAATATGTTTTCTGATTAGCGGGCTCAGGCATCTTTCTTAGCGTTCCCTTGTAAATTTTCCAAGCTTCCTCTTTTTCTACATGTACTCAGCAATTTTGATAGCATTCTGTACCCACAGCCTTGTATGTATACTTGCCTAGTTAAAAGTTGAGCAGTAGTGAAATCCACTATACACGTTTCGTACCACTGATGAGGTAAGGCTATGGAATCGAAAATAATAAAAAAGATTGATGAACAGCTTATGAGAAATACTCGGCCGCTTTTCATGCTGGAAGATGTATGAGAGGTGCAATTGAATCGGCAGTTGTCAGCAAGGTCTCAATGAATTTGTAGCACAAAAAATGGTTAAAGCATCAGAAGTTAGAGAAAAGTACAATGCTAGCGTTATAAGGGACAATATTGAGTGAAAGTCATTGAGCTCTCTTTCTTTCTGACTCCAAGCGAGGGCAAAAATGAGAGCGAATTAGATGTGGAATGCAAGCAGACCTTTCCTCCATTTTATTAAAGTAATCATCAGAAAAACCAGAAATCTTATCTACACTTGGTAGAACATATGGCAATGTAACTAAGACAACTAAGACGAACCAATTTAATAGCCTTAAATACTTGAAAAATCCACTTATCTCCAAGTTCCTTTACTTCCTGTTCCATAATTGTAGATAAATAAATAGAAAAACAGAATTTGAACACACTACACAGTTTCATACACAGCATCAAATCTCATTTAGCAAGGGTGTCGTTGGTGGCTCCAACATCCAGATTGAGCCAGAACATGAACCACTCCGAAAATCACTCGCACCTCAATCCAATTTGTTGTAGAGAAGATGGCAATCACGTCATAACGATTGCCATCTTCTATACAACAAATTGGATAGAGGTAGAGGCAAAGCGATGTCCGTAAGCTCGGTTGCTCAATCAGAAGCTTCATTATCATATAACATCGCGATGTCAAAACTATGAGCTGTGTATGAAGTCAACAGGGTGGAGAAAATTACGTGCGCCCGAATTTGGAAGCGATCACGTGACTGCTCTGAACACCAAAGCCGGCCTCTACGCATCTGTTGCTTTCCTCACATCTTCGATAATAAGCCTTTGAAGAGAAAGCTGTTCTCAAGACAATGGTGCAGGCCTGCGCAAGCCGCGAGGAGATTGCACGCCTAGCGAGCGGCGGGATAAAGAACACTGGC